GTGATATGGAATTATGGATATTTCCCATACTGACATGCCTCAGATCTACCTGTACAGCCCTAACAGGAAAAGGATGGGGTTTGATGGTTGTGTTGGTTAACATTGTTCCAGATCCAGCAGAAGAACCTGTTTATTGCAATGTCACCATTCAGCTCTGCTGGTTTAGAGGCAGAATTATATTGTTGGGGGTTATCCAAGCCTTTACCACCTCCCCTCACAAGTACCTGTGCCATAAAACCTCTGAGTGTGTATGTCAGAGCTCTTGTGTCTCCAGCAGACTTGTCTTCACCTGCTGCAGGTCATGATTGCCCTGGTTTACTGTTTCTGGGCTTTTCTAAAGTGAATTATTCTCAGTGTTTTACATATGTTTTGCTTACATCTATCCTTTTGCTATCTCTAAATGTTACAATCTTACAATGCTAAAGAAAGGTTTATATTACCTGAAAGGACCTGAAAAAAACAGAGATGAAGCCTCTGCTGTACTGACACCTGTAGGATTTGAAACTGGATTAAGTTTCATGAGAAATTAACTTCCCAGATTTTCCCCTTCCATACTCAGGTGCATGCACATGTACACAGAAGCCTCACATGATTCTGTGGGATTCTGGGGGAAAACCCTCTGAATTTTAAGTAATAGAAGGTATTTTAAAAGAAACTAAATTTTATGCAAGTACTTTATTTTTTGTTTACATTTTTGCTTCTCTTTCCTTTACTCTTGCTCTTCTCACTCTTTACTCTCCTATGATCCTTACGGCCTCTCCACTTTGAAAGTAAAGGGTGAGAAAAACAGGTTCCTCTCATTAAAGCTATAGAAAATTTCAGGTTCTTTTCTGGTACTGATATGCTGACTTTGCTCTTTTTTTGTAGCAAACTCAAAAATGCTTTGCACAAATCAGCCTTTAGAGGACAATAAAAAGACACTCCTGTGTCTGGACAAAAAGTCTCAGCACTTAGTCATGGAAATTGATTTTTTCAGGGTTTTTTTGTTTGCTCCATGGCTCCATGATGAATTTTTCCTCAGAAACTGGGGATGGGATAGCTCATGTGGTGACTTTCAGGCTGGGTACAACCCACAGGATTATTTGTGTTCAAGGTGTGCAAGACCAGGTTGAGTGGAGCTTTCAGCAGCCTGGTCTGGTGGAAGGTGTCACTGCCCATGGCAGAGAGGTTGGAGCAAGGTGATCTTTAAGGTCCCTTCCAACCTTTCCAGCTCAAAGAAAAACTGAAGGACAGGTTGGGCAGCCTTATAACCTATCACCTCTTCCTGAATGCAGTCTTGTGTAATGCTTAGAAATCTGAGCTACTCCAACACTTAGCCCATGAGATTTGGGATCCAGTCCTGGCAAGGCAGGACTTCCCTAAATCTAAATTCATAACACAGGCAGCACCTTACTGGTTTGTAATAAGGGCTGGTGCTTCCAGGATTTCTAAACTTACCCTTTTATTGGTGATATATATGTACCACTGTGCCCAGGAATATTTTGGGCTAGTGCTAGTCAGACCAGGTAGAAAAAAACCCCAGAAATTCTGCAGATGAAGAGAAGTGCAGATGGTCAATGCCTCTTCTCTGGCACTACTTTTATCTGCTAGTACCAACATATTTGAAATTATTCGAGGTTATCAGTATAACTTCAACTGGCCACTGATAAGTGAAGTTATCAATGTAACTTCTCTGCAGTAAGATCCTCTAAAATGTATTGAAAGGGGAGAAAAGTTGAATGAAAAAAAAACCAGAAAATGACCCTGGCTCAGGTAGTGCACAATATTTGCTACTGTAAATTTAAGAGTCTGAGTTGTCTGTTCATGACTGAAGAATATTGGAAAATCATTCCTCATGGAGCATTGAGTTTTTGAATTTGTTTCAGATGAACACCTCAGTGTTCACAGTGGCTGCACAAATAGGGGTGTACCAGAGGTGCAAAATAGCCTCTGATTTTTTGCATAAGGTTATGCAAAATCCAGCAGTTCTCAGGCTCACTGGCAGCTCCTTTGAAGATTTCCCATTTTGTGCTTTGTGTGAAATTTGAGTTTGGAGTTGGAGCAAACCCAACACCTCTGATCCCTTCATGGGGACTATCCTGTACTTCAGGTTGGACACATTTGCAGAGAGAAGTGTGAACCTGAAGATTTAAAACAGGGGAAATGGGAAAAAACTGCTTCTATCTGACCTGTGCCAGGATGTGAACCCTGGTCTTAATAACTAACATAGAACAGGTAACATCACAAGAAAGTGGAGTACACAGCTCTACACTGAACAGCTGTAATGGAATTTATTCCTAAAGAAAACTCCCTCACCCCAATGTAGTAGAGGCTGCATCCAATTACACTGTAGATATCTGATGCTATAGCTCTTCAAAAAGTCTTTCAATATCTTAAAAATTATTTTAATAATATACATTTGTGTGATTCTTCTTTTTTATGACCATAAAAAAATCTCTTCAGATTTCTGAAGATTTCGTCATATTAAGATTCTGAAGATTTCATCATCATGAGGTGGAAGGGACCTTAAATCTCATCTTGCTCCAATTCCCTGCCATGGGGCATCTAGAGAGTCTTTAATGTCCCTTCCAACCCAAACCACTCCATGATTCTATGATATTTAATCTCAAGAAGACAAGTAGTGGTAGTAGGTGTTGAGATGATCTGACTGTAAAGACTGGTGGATTTAGGGAATGGGAATAATGATTTTTTATGCCTACATTAGGTTTAGCTGCCCACAGTGTCTAGTGTGTACTGGTTGGCTAATCTCCCATTCTGATGGAGTTCTAGACCAGACTGTTCAGCCAATGGAGTTTAGAGAGAAATTCTAGTTATACTGATGTAGATATCTATGTTAGACCTGTTTAATTCAGATTTTTCAAGCTATGCAGGTGAGATTCCTGAACACTGAGGCAGAAGATGTACAGCTGGCTGCAGTGGAGGCTCCTACAGGCATCTGAGCAAAGTCAGAAGTCCAGGTCAGAAGCCGATCCGACCCCAGCATCTCTACACTAGCTGGAAAGGAAATATGGTCTCAGCTCCACCTCTGGGACTGGCAGCACTCATCATTCCCTGAGCACAATCAGAGAAGACTCTGACTTAAGGCCAGGGAAGACCCTGAGTAGGATCAAGGCCTGTGATCCTCCAGGTGCCCATCTTCAGTCCAACACTTAAGCTCTGAAGCAGACATGAAAGAAAGTGCTGACTGATCCAGAGCTGCCTGCAGAAGCTTTCCCCTCCAACTACTGATGTGCATCAGAGAAGGAAGGATGGGAGCAGTACCAGTTGACAGTTTTGTAGCTGAAGCCTTCAGCACTTTATCCTGACTGCTATTTCTACTCTAAACACAGGAATCCTTGGGGATTAGCCACCTCATATCACATTTCCTCTGTGCACATGCAATAGGGAATTATCTCTTTTTCCACAAGCTTAGGTAGCTGATTAAAATCCCTCTATGAGCATTCTGCATGAATAAGGATGTTTCTCTTGATGTGCACATGTAGTTGGGTGTTATGGAGTGTGTATTATGGAAAACATACACACACCTGGGTGCTCTGTGTGTGCCCATGCACAGCAGTGCTTGAGAAAGGAGTGGGGAGGTCCAGGTGTGCTCTTACACAGGTAGGATGCACACAGGTGTGTGTAAGAATAAAGAGGAATGTCGGGAATGTGTGCATTTGTGGATGGGGAATTACCCTTGCCTCTCCACACCTCAACGGGTGTATGGAAGAAGTGGAATGGTGGGTATTTTTGGGATTCCACTCAAAGTCTGAGAGACTAAAAATTATTTCTCACAGCACCTATCAGAACGTTAATAACTAACAGATGTTGGGACATAGAGACATGGAAGTTGTCTGTCCAGCCAGTGAAAGAAGAGTGGCTCAGCTGGTTGTGCTAAAGAATATACAACACAATTCTAAATCTTTACAGGGCTATGAAACTTGCTTAATATTATGGTTTGTAAACAACTGTCTGGGACAGTTCTTCACATTTTTTTTTTCATATATTGGCTAGTGGATGGAAAAAATTAATAATCTGTAGCCTCAGCAAGTCATGCATTGCCCTCTGTGGCCTGACCAAAGACAGGAGCACCTCCAGGATGTTTCATCCAACTTATCTTTGATAGATATCTTAGATGACCCCACTATTTCAGAGTGGCCCTCTGGAAGATCCCACATCACTCCTGGCTGTATCTGACACATCACCTAAAGCAAAAAAGGTGAAATTGCACAGCAACTCCTGAGCTAATAAATCTTTTTGACCCCAAAATATCTATACACTTTTATACACAATTAGGATAAAATTCTAATGAAGTTTGGACTTTGTATGCATGTACTGTTGGTCTTTGTCTTCAAAACAGCTTCTAAGCCTGTTTAAACCAGTACATTAAATATTGCTCAAGAACTGAGTCTAAATATATCATTAGTCTGGCTTTTTAGTGTGAGTCAGCTTTCAATTCTCCAGATTTTCCAGTTGTTTTTCAGAAATTAGTGCAGTAAAATTGTTTTAGTAGGTAATGTATTTGAAGGACAGCCTGCTTTGGAAGTCAAAGAGTTAATAAAATGATCCTGGTAAGACATTGTCAAATTATCTCAGTAGCAAGGAGGACCTTTTGGAACAATTTATTTAATTGGAAAGGATGCAACCTCTTCATCCTGTTATTTCTATTTTGATTAATTTATATTGGTTCAGAATTTGTTTCTATGCTTCTGGACCATCCACTTGCAAGCTGTGATTTGGCTCACGTTTAAAGTAAGACAACTTTCTGGCCAGATGGGGAGATTTGACCAGAAAATACCTTATTCAAACTCAGATTGTGGTCCTAGAAGCAGGTTGAATGCAGACAACTTGAACTACATTGCTGGGCAAACCTGCATTTTTAATAAGCACAGCTAGCAGGGATTATGGATGTTAATTAATTATTTGCATGTCTTGTAGGTAAGGGAACAAATACCATTAAAACATCATATGCAATCTAAATCAAAAGTATGGATTTTTAGTTTCCTCTTTCAAAATCATACCTGAAATGTGTTAAATGTCTCTGGATGTCGAGGTCTAATATTGGAGTTGGTCTGGAGGATCCAAGGGGTGATCTGTCTTGACTTAGAAGGTCCTGGAATTCTTTACATATTTGTCTAAAAGGAAAATGGAACTCCTTCAATAAAACAGGTCTGGTAATCTTTCCCATAAAGCTGATTCCCAAAACACTCCCACCATGTCCTAAGTGATCTCATTCATAACAGAATTTCTTGGCAGAAGTGTTGTTACAGAAATTAAAGATAAACAAATCCATCTCTGGTTTACCTGCCCCAAATTCTCAGAACCAACAACATACAGAATCTCTTGAACAGGAAGATTTTCCCTGTGAAATCATATTAATGTTAACATTTTGGAATGTGATTTTAAAATCCCTGAATAGGACCCATTCTGGCAGTGTTAAGTCTAGCTTAGCTCACCTACATTGGCAGCAAGGCTTATGGTTAAAGGAAATGGTGAACCAATATTAGAATATGCCTGAAATGTGTAAATTACTCTATTATTTAGTTTGTGTAAATACACCAATACTTGTACATGGGCTTGTGTAAATTGTGGGCACTGCTTTTTCTGCAAGTTGAAGTCCTGGATATTTAGGACTTGCCTTCTTGACTCCCAACCCTTAGGACAAAGGGGTTGTGAAGGAAGGACCCCTCATAGTGAGAATTCAGAGTCTTTCTGCTCTGGTCTTCCACCAGCATTGTAGCCCATCTTCTGTGTAAAGGATACATGGTCTCACTGTTTTTTCTCTCCCACTCAGTCTTCCCTGAGGCTTCTCAGGATGCCTCAGCACCTGGAGACTTAATTTATTCCCTGGAATTCCTCTATATTCCTCTATATTGCTAGGTCCTCTATATGGACCTAGCAATAGGAAATGTCCAACAATAAGGCCTTTTGTTCTTGTGTTGTTGCCTTGTTATTTGTAAATTAGCCTAGGAATGTTCTACCAACAAACTTTTTAAAAAATAAAACAAAACAGTTCCATTTAGCTCATGTACTCAGAAGATCATTATCTGGACCATGAATGAACAGACATCACTTACGTTCACTTGGTTTATGATTCAGTTAATTGAAAAAAGGAAAGAGGACCTGTTCAAATTAGCATGAGTTCTCCATTGCCTGTATTGGAAATAAAGGCATTAATGGGGGATCAGGAGGGCATGGTCACCTCCAGATGATCAGGACACTCAGCTGGGGCTCTGATCTTTGTTGGACTAACCTGGTACTGGTCACAGTGACCACGTGTAGCCTGGTAACTGTGTCACCCAGTGAAGTGTAGAGTGACAAGGGTCACCCTCACACCTGCAGACCATTTGTCACCATCTGATAACAGCAATAAAGTTATACCCTTCTGGTGTCCTAAGTCCTGTGGCTTCCTGAGAATAAACCCTGTTGTGGGCTGTCTCCCAGGACTTGCCCAAAAGATATTTGGGAGAACTCAATGAGCCATTCTAACATTTTAGTAACTTGGACAAGTGCAATCTGATGACTCAGAGTGTGTGCAGTTTACTTTGGTAGCATAGATGCAAACACAGTGCCCACGGGCAGTTTCTAATACTAAAGAGCATCTCTGTTGGTCCATGATTCCTTTTAGGAGACTCATTGCACACCTGGTCCTAGATAAAGTTTGGGTTCTTCATTATCACCTTAAGTCCTGTCTTTTGGGACATGGGTATAATGGAAAAAGTGGTAAACTCAGCTTGTTGGTCTTAACAAGGTCCTTCACTGTGGAACTATAAGCAAGAAAACTGTGCTAAGCTGTGCTTAAGCTGGTTTTACCCTTCACTTTATGACAGTGATACAAGCTGGGAACAGAGATCTTGGATAGCTCTCTCTTGACTAAGAGGAGATGCAGAAACCAATTTCCTGCTGTGCTGCTGGACCCCATCCAAGCCTGATTTCTCCAAATGCTCATCATCTGCATGGACCTAGATGCCGACTGCTTGAAAAGACAGCATCACCCCAGCCTTTCAGGCAAAGAGAGGTATTCAGCAGAAATGTATGTAAATGCAGCATACAGTTTTAATGAATCAGGTCCTTAGAGGAAAAACAGTTCCTTTCAACAACTGAAAACAGTCAGTCATTTTGGCTTCTAAACAACCCACTATCCCCAGTCGGCCCTGTCAGCATTGCTCTTCTCTCCTTCCTCCAACCTCTACTTTCTACCTGTTGAAAAAGTTCATCTTAAAAGTTCTTTCATTTTAACAAAGGAAAGTGTCAGAACCAAGTGTGCAATTAAGTTCCCTTCTATCTTCACGTGTCAAAAGTCTTTACTGAATGTTGGCAGATTGAAAGAAAAGAAAAAAAAACTTTTTTTATTATACATGAAAACCTGCAAAAGGCAGTAACCTACTTTTTTTTTTTTTTCAAGGGGATTTCTAGGCAAAGTGGTGTCTCAGAGCCTCCACTACCAGTAAAATATCACCTGGGGTAGGGACAGGGAGAGGGGTTGGCAGTTTTTTGCTAAGTTGGACAGTGATTTTGAAAAAACAAAGGAAGATGGTTGTGCTGTCCTAGAGAAGCACAGATTAATAAAAATAGTCATGGTCTCTCCTGCATAGGAAGCATCTAATGATTTATGATACATGGTCAGATGATCCACTATATGACCAGAAAAAGAGAAAAAATTCTGAACTGGGTCAAAACAAGAGCCCATGCAGGCCATGATCCCTACCAGTGGCCAGAGCAAATGCCGGGTGTTGTGTACAAGAGTGGGGCAAACATTATCCCATGAATCTGATTTATTCTGAGTGTGGCAGAGTTGCCAGGTATCCAAGGACCAGATATCAGAGAAGTGTCATGAGCCAGAGTAGTCTGTGCTGGCTGTAATCAATTCCACAATAAAATTATTATTCATAGTATTCTGGTTTGGTCTGTGTAAATGTAGGTATATCTGTCCCTCTGATCATATGGAAGACCTTGTGCTGTGAAACACTGGGAGGTTTCCTCTAGGATGCTGTGCCTCTCCAGCAACTGCAATAGTTGACACAGCCTTCAGCAGTGTTGCAACTGTCCAAGATGCAAACTGGTCAGGTTCTGTCCCCTGCTGTGAAACCTCTCAGGCTCTCCCATGCCTCTGCAAGGAAAATTGACCCATGTTTAAAGACCCTATAAAACCAGTTCCCACTATTTTTTTTCTATTTCTATGTGAATTGAATGTGTATCCTGAGATCTTTTTTACATTTCTAGGGTTGATAGGGCAATAGTAACACCCTTTGGCCAGAATTATGACAATTCAGTCTTTTTTGGAGCATTTTGGCCTGTCCAGAAAACCATCCACTTGCCCAGACAATCATCTGCTTAGTCAAAGGAGGTGAGTGGAAAGAAAGAGAGTAGAAGACTGGTTTGTCTCATTGCTTATGCTTTTCTGACCCTTTCAGCTCTTTTCAGGCTGTTTCACTCTCATCCTGCTATTGCTGATACTTGTGTTCAACAGTGAACAGTGGCTACACAGCCAAATCATCTCTTCTTCCCATGACAATTATTAAGTAGAGTTCTCATTCTTCATTGTCTGGTCCATAAAACTGTTAGAACAGATCGTGGCACCATCCTGTTGCATCAATTTCTACTGTCCCAGGCAGGTCCTGAGTTTGCAAATGGGAGAGACCATTTCCATGAGGTAGCTTTGGGAGATGAAGCAGTTTAACAGAATGAATGTGATTTGTTCCATGATGGACAATGATCCTGGTTTTGTTCTCTATATTTCTATCAGCATGGTCTCAGACCAGGTAGGACTGAGCAGGAAAAGAGTCACTTCAGCTCAGTAGCCTCCACGTGTTGGCTGTTGGTATCTAAAGTATAATTTTTTAACTTTCACTGGCCTGTGGGTCACAGTTCTGTGCATGGCAGCTGAACTGCTTCCATTCAGGGTGGGTGGATTTCTTGCTTACAAGGTCTGGAAGCCCTTGTTGTCAAGGAGGCCTAGGAGCTCCTACTGGACACTGGAGCCTTCATCATTGTGGACATTTAGGGCTCTGTTTCATTACCCACATGTAGATTTTTAATACCCAAGACATCCATGGCCATGGCAGATACAACACAGTAACAAAAAGAGAACTGTGTGCCCCTGGAGCAGCAGCTCATGGCCAAACTGTAAAACCCAGTTCAACTCAAATGGCAGTGTGTGCATGTGTTTGGGCAGCTGAATTGAGCCGATGAATTTGGATGTCTAAATCCATAATGGAAATACACCTGTGGAAATCATTTTACCCTTTCCACTTGTTTTTCCTCATCACCTATATTCTAAGGACTGTGGAAATAACTTTGTTCTTTCCCCTTATTTTTCCTCAGGACCACACAAGTGAGAATTTCTGTGGGCTTCTGGCTCTGTCCCACAGTGGGCAGAAGCAGCACAAACAGGCAGTGGCACTCCAGCTCTTTCCACAGACAAAGCTTGCCATGAGTGATCTTACCACCCTGGAATTTCTGTGTTGGTTTTGGCAGCAGCACAATAATGCCCTGCTTTTTCTGGTGTCAGCACTCACAAGCCCAGGAATCAGGGAAGTTGTGGAATTGCTGAAATTGCCAGCCTAGAGCTTCGGTATGGCTGGTGAGCAGTGGAAAGTCCTGATGATTTTCTAGAGCTCTTTGCACCAGACATGTGAAGCGTGGCTGGGAAAAGCCATGCTGATATTGTGATGTCATGGACGCGTGTCTCCTGAACACCTGGGCAGGAATGGGAATCCCTGTTCTCCTTGCAGGCAGGAGAGGGCAGTAGTAACACACTCATTGACCCATCTGTCCCTGTTATCAGCTCTGACTGCAGTAGGATGTGGCCTCTCTATTATTGACAGACCTCCCTGAGTAATTTCCTGGTGCTTTTAACTGATAGGACGGCGAAAAAAGGTAATTTTGTTCCTAAAAAGTGCTGGATAACAGCCTACAAGCCTGAAGTTCATGGGGGTTAGAGGCAGTGCATGCTCATGGTACCTCATCTCAGTAGTGAAGGAGGCTGAGAAAGTGGATATGGGGTGGTGAGAAAAGGTAGTGAGACTCTTATATGGCCCTCAGTGGCACAGCCTTTGGGGACAGGACATAAAAGTGACCCACCAATAATTACAACCCATGGCTTTGTGATTTCTCCCTAAAACCAGACGAAAATGGGGAAGATTTACATCCTTTTGGTTGAATTGTGTTCCATGAATGGGACAAATCCTCAGCAGGGAGGCAGGATGTTAATGGGCTGCACAGCAATGGGGAGACACAACTTGCAGAGAGCAATTTCCTCTGGCCAGCTGGTATATTCTCATGCCTCTGAAACCCCTGGAGCCCTTGAATGTGGATACAGGTAAAGAATAAGATAATATTCCACTTACATTATTCCTTTTAATGTACAGGGGAATTAGGAACGTGGTATATGAGGTCTCTCATCACATCCAGAAAATTCCCACTGATCCACATGGTGATGCTTTTATGACCCCAGGGAAGGACCACAGACTACATTCATGGGATTCACAAGCATGAGGTGTTTGAGGGTATCTCATCTCTGGGTCACTGCCAGGGCACAGTGCTCTGGATACAAGAGGGACATCAAGGCCAGGAATCTTGCCAAAGCAGAAGGACATTGGGATACACAGGACAATCCTGTTGCTGGTCAGCCCTTTCCCTTACTAGGGGAAATCTTCCCTGTTGGATATATCACAGCCTGGAAGGGTTTTCAAGCACTTCCAGCACGGAGGGGATGATCTGGGAGCTCAGATTTGTGGTCTCAGCTCTACTTCAGCCTCAAATATGACACTGCAGTGAGCACAGCAAGACTGCAAACGTGTTCAAGGTTACCCCACACAGTCAGACCACACACCTAGGGCAGGTCTGCCCTACTCCACACAGACTATTTATTCCTGTTTCCCATGGCTCATGAAGCCTAATTCTTCCCTCATCAAGGCTAATTAACCTAGATGAAATGTTATCCTAACATGATGTTACTGCTCCAGGGAGACGAGTGGCTTGTTTAGAGTGAAGTCTGATGCCTCTTTGTGTCTTTAATGTCTTTAGCAAAGCTCCCCTGCTGCTGTACATTGTTCCAGTGCCTTTGACTTCAGGGGAGCTCTTGCAGTTTGCATCCAGAGAGGATCTGTCCTCCTACAGACCAGCTCTCCCTCAGCAGACTAATAGTAATTACCCAGCAGTAACCAGTACTTCAGCAAAGGCTCAGATCTCCTGCTCACACACAAACAGGAGACAAAGCCAGTTTCTGTCCCATAGATCTTACCATGTAATAATATCCTCTGCTCTCATCTTAACCAAAGCATCTGGGAAGATGTACATGCCCCCTTAACCATGGGCAATGGGAGCACAGCCACTAAAACCCCACTGCAGTAAATAAGGTCCCTCTTTCAGCATCTCCTAGGAGGATTGCTCCCCCCCAGTCAGTGAGCACTGTTGTGATAGCAGACACCACAATCCCAGCTCCATACTCCCACTCCTCCCTCCCCCAGCCCACAGATCCAACATGGAGAAGTGACAGACCGATTTCTTTTTTCGCTTCCCCTCCCTCCTTACTTCGTCGCTAGGATCATCTTTTTCCTCGCTGTCTGCTCTTTCTGTTCCATGTGCTGTCTGGCAATGTGCTCTCCTACTGCCTTGGCAGGGAACTCTGTTTCACAGGTGTAGCCGAAATCTCTGGCCAAATGTAGTGCTTCCCCTGCGGTCAAACAAAATGGGTCAGTAATTTCTTAAGGTTATTATCATCATCATCATCATTATATTGTTATTATTGTTACAGAATTTATATTACACTCTTTAAAAAAATCCCAAACATTAGCAAGTCACTTCCATAGACAGTCATTCTCAAGTTAGTTACACATTTCAGCCCAGTTGTCCTGTTGATGTTTAGCCATCAGTTGGTGCCAGGCAGAAGATAGGAAGGATATTCCTCTCATCAGATGGAAGGATGTCCCTCTCAGGAGAAAATACTGGCCAAGACACTTGGCCCTCTCTTGCCACCAGTGAGTATTGGGCAGCTGCCCAATTTTGCAAGCCCTGTTCATCATCAATATTCAAGGTATGGAAAAGAGAGGAAAGTAGGAATAAACAACTTTGAAGAACTGAGTCAGCCTGTGTCTAATGGAAGAAGAGCCCTCTACGCCAGGAAAGACCCATGGGGATAACCCACATTCCAGTACAATTGCTTAGAGGTTAAGCCAACAATACAAGTGCCCCACACCAGAGAAAAGCAGACTCTAAGGGAGAACTCAAGAAATAATTTTATTTCCAGAAGGATTGCAAACAAAACTGACCAGGCAAAACAATAAGGGAAAATGATGAAGAAGGAAGTTGCACTGAGCACCTCTCCACCTCACTGCAAAGACTGAACACAAGAACCCAACTCCGTGCTGACTGCCAAATGCCTCTGGAAGAACAGGACCCTCTTCACTAGCTTAGAGAATCCAGAATTTAATTTTAGGGTTTACTGAACACTCTGACCTGCACTCTGTGACTCTGACAACCTCAGTGTGGGATTTGTCTGACCAAAAGCAGCTGCCTGGATTGTGAACAGCTGTGCCTAAGTCAGTGTTTGCCTGGTGGGAAATAGGCATTTCCAGATGACACTTGCTCTCATCTCATTGCAGAAAGAAGAAATAGGTCAGTTACCAGAAGCGTGTGTTGAAGCACATCTGCATGAATGACTAACAGAGATGTGCTCCAGAATAGTTTTGGAGTTCAGGGGTTGTGGGTTTTTTGCCTTTTTCTTTTTTTTTTTTTTTTTTTCAGAGTTGTGTGTTTGATTGCCATCAGGAGAAGTGGCATTGGACTCTGGCTCTTTGAAGTTCAAAAGTCTGATGCTGTCAGGAGGGATACAGGACATGCAACTCCTCGCTTTGAGAATATCTGCAGTGGAATTCCTCAGATTAAATGTCAATATTGATGTCTGACTTAATACTTTGAAGTCAATGGAGACAAAGTAGCACTTGGAGCATGTATCATCCTATACTAGTGTAGAAGGCAAAAGGGAATCAGAGGAATTATTGGAAGTCTAGATTAGAACTCAGGAAATCACCTTCTGCTGACAGCATTGCCTTAGATGAGGTTATTCAAGGCTTTTCCAAGCCCAGTCTTGAATGTTTCCAGCTATGGAAATTCCACAGCTGTTCTGAGCAACATAATAAAATGTTTAATTATTAATTTAACTTCATTTAATCATGAAATTAAATCATTAAACCCAGAAGTGCTGATTTCTCCCTATTTATTATGATCTGACATGAGAAGGTACAACTGCAATGAAGGTGGAGAGATGAATCCCATCCTCAGCAAGGCTTGGTTAAGCCAAGGAAGAGGAGAAGTTCCATGGAAACAGTGGTCCTGTGCCAGGGACAGTATGAGGAATAAGAAACTGCATGCACTGACCTCTACTTCAACTCTCTTCTCCCTCTTTTGAGATATTATTTTCTCCCCTTCTCCCACTGGAGTTTTCATGGAAAAACACCTTTTGATTCCACAAGAAAATGCTTTACTGTGTGTTTATCTGCCCCAATTTATTCAGGTACTGAAAAAAATCCATGCACCACTCCCAGGCAATCTGTTTGCTGATACCAGCCAGCTACAACCTCTGCAACTGTAACCAACTTTACAGCAAAAATTGAAGATTATTGTCAAAATCATCTGCTTTCTTTGGATTATTTTTAAAACATTATTTTCCCTGTTCTTAAAAAGCAATTAACAAGCAATCAGTATCTCTGAGCTGAAAGGAGAAACAATTTCCACTTAGTTTGCAGCTTCTAGAAAAGTGAAATAATTTTCAGTGAAAGCAAAATGTATTTCAGTGGTAAGTTAACAAACAATCAGAATGAACAGGCATAGAGCTGACGGATTGCTTTGTATTTCAAATATCTATCCCAGGCTTCTTCATGGGTGAGAAAGGGTACAAATTTAAGCCATAGCTTTTACATTTCTGTAGAGTAGTTTCAAAACGTCTATTTCATATATGCTTTTAATCTTCCTTAAATAAAGACTTACAGAGTAAATCTATTTCAGAAGAGCACCAGGTTTTGCTTTTCAACTAAATTCTGTTAAAATACTTTATAGGTTTATCTTCATTCCAGCATGGAAAGAAAAGGCAAACCCTTTGAAGCTGTCATCAGGTGGAATTGCAATTCTCCAGACAGCTTCATCATGGTCCCAGTCAGTCCCAGTAACAATACAAGGAATGTGTACAGCAAAGAATTCAAACATTTAACCATTGGAAAAAGTCTTGCTTTCTTCAAGAGAACAGAGCTTTTTGTGCTAAAATGTAGGCATTCATTTAACATGATCAACAACTAAGTGACTGAAATGTGAATGTTTCCACTTACTGTTAGAAAAAAGGGAATGAAAATGTGAATTCTCATTCAAATTTATATTTACAAAGAGGGTTTATATTATTTGCTAGAGCTGAGAAAATTATACTAAACTGTTCTGATAATCTGAGAAAATTATTCAAAAGTATAAAACCTGTCTTGAGCTGGGATTGTGACTGTGATATAACACCACATGAGCAAAAAGAAACAAAATTTCTTATCTCTTCCCAGATATAGATTGGTAAAAATGTAAATACAAATGTAATTACTGTTTTTAATGAAGTAATAATTAAAATAAATTAAATTAAAATTGAAAATATTTTTTGCTGGAAATGGAAAACTCACATATACTGAAAATGCATGTTAGAGCTATGCATATTTATTCATATAAGCATGCATATACTATAAAGAGCAGGCATCCTGCATTCTAACTACAAATTCTAAATTAAAAAAAAAATAAGTGGACTTGAGTACACTCCACAGAGAATAATTTCTCCTATCTGATTGTTGAGCAAAGATGTCATTTTAAACCAGGACCAAATGATGATTTGATATTTAGAAGTGTACTGTGATATACATTTTTTTTTTTTTGTGAATAGATATCCCTTTGATTTGTACAGTAGGATTAAGTCTGCTTGGTGGGGGAAAGTAGTTTATACAAAATGTCATAGAATATGTTCTTTCTTTTTCTACAGCCTAATTCAGACAAACATTTACTTTGGGAGAAAATGTGTAAATGTTGGAAATGTGGATGAACTGACCTTTTCTCTTTTACCTTAGATTTCCCATCTTCTGCCTAGTTGTTATTTACCTCACAGTAGGAATCATGATAAAGGTAGAACCAGCTAAAACCCCTGACTATTATAGTTACTTGCCTTGTTTCAATCTAAATTCAACCTGAAATCCAATTTCCCCGTGTGTGACACCCCCCAGCTCTTTCCTCCTGCCGAGATAAAGAGCAGATGTTGGGAATCTTGGGCTCTCCTTAAACCCAGCTCTGCATCTCCTGGCAGTGCTGCCCCTCCTCTGCAGTATGACAATTGACCTGGGAGCCTTGCACGATGGAAAAGGACAGGCGCTGGAGCGGAATTGGCAGGGACAGCTCTGGAAAGCCTCGGTGGGGAGAGCAGCACCTCGGAAGGGTTCTGTGGGCAGGTGCAAGGAGTGGCCTGAGGGTCCCCCGGGGCCAGCAGGAGTGAGAGCTGCTCCTGTGCGGAGCCAAGGCAGGAGCTGTGTCCCCAGGAGAGGGACACTCGGCATCTGAGCCTCCCACTCTCTCCTCGGCTGTGCCTCCTCCGGATGCTCTACCCAGCAGAAATGTTACTCAGGGGGAGGAGGGACAGGCGGGAGGTGGAAGGAAAGTTTATTCTATTTGTAGGGTGAGAAGGGAGGAGGAACAAGTGGAAGGATATTTAAACAAAGGCTGGTGGGGGAGAAGTGTGATAGTTGAGAGCACGATGAAAAAAGAAACCGCTGACCTGTTTTTCTCAAGAGTTTTGGTCCCCAAATGATGAATGTCGTTAATTGTGTGTCTAGGAAATTTAGTGTCTTAATCAGGTTTGACAGAAAAACAAACTCTAGAATTTTTTTATTAGTTTTTCTTTTTTTTTTTTTTTTTAATCTGATGGTTTAAAAATCATTCATGCACTGCTTTAACCTGCATCTGCAATCACATTTATGCTTTGTAAGTGACCCATTCAAACAGAAGGGGACACATCCCCTCTTTTCACATCCTTCCTAGCTCCCACCGGAGAAGCTTTTGACTCTTTTGAGCCCACAGTAAAGCTTAGCCTTGGAAATACTAGTATTTATCCGAGGAGCCTTTATTTTACGGCTAATATGTAAGAATTTTCCTTTTGGAACTCGTAAGAAAAATGACCTTTCCCTCCATCTAGTCCAGGCACTAGAGGGCATCCCTCGCCTGCAGGTTACACAAAGATGTGTCCCCAAACTGCTCAGGAGAGTCCTGCGACACTGACTTCACACTCCCTGTCTGCCTTCCCGCTCGTTGTGCTGATTTATGTGCATGACAAAGAGAACATAACCGATCTGTCAAACAATTCTTATTTTGGGCCGCAGACGCCCCTACCAAAGACTCTAAAGATGCGACCTGATCAAACCAGCAATAAGTATCCTGCAGCAGAGCAGAAAACAGGAGGCCGCAGAGTAATGTTCATGAAATCTGGACCTTCATGTGACAGCCACAGCCTAGAAATAAATTTCCGTTCCTCCTTGAGCTTAGCAGACTCCCCAAAACTCAATGATTTCAGTATCTTTTAGAGGAAAAGAAGTATGAGTCATGTCAGAGATTTTTTACTTGGTTTTGGTCAATAAACACAATAATACAACTAATTTTGCCTTATCCTATATCACATAGATATTCAAGAGGTTGAGCATGCTTTTACCTTAAAGAGATATTAAAACCTCAATATATTGAAGACTGTGGGGACCTTTAGTAATAATGAATTTAGAATCATCTGAAGAAGTCAAGAATGACACAATCCTGGGTTCTTATGAGAGGTCCACAGAATGTATCTGATATTTTAGAGATTTAATAGAACTAAGAAATTATTGTTATTATTTCAACTTCTGTATTGCTATCAACAGAAAAAGCTCCTGTTGCCTTCTCTCTGGATCCTCTAAACACAGAATAAGCCTGTGTCCTTACATTTTTACCTCCTCTAGCAGCAGGAACCATTGAAGGATGGTTTTCCTTGGAGAAATTGTGCAGTTCCACCTGAAACTGCATGTCCAAAATAATAACAGCTTATACCACCAAGAATTCAATGAGCACCTCCAAGTTTGACCCAGAATTGGTTACACAGGCAGGAAATGAGCTTCACTTAGTTTTCTGTGGGAACATTAACATGGTGGTGCCATTCCCAAAAATTCCGTGAGATAAAATTCACAATTAGCGTATCCAGGCAAAAAGATCTCTGCCAAAACGAGCTCAGGCACATCAGTATTTGTCTTTAGGACTCACAGCAAGGCAGTCCAAGAACAAAAGCAACACCGTAGGCTTGGTAGCAGGTTTGCTACTGGTTTTGAATAAAGGGCAGGGAGGTGGGCACATCTCCATTCCTGGGAAGCAGGAATCCAGCCCTGACTTACAGTAAAGGTTCTCAGCCATCAGCCCCAGGCCAGCAGTTGTCAGACAGGTACCTCCCTCTCAGCCTCTTCTGAACAATGAATAACTAGTCACATAGAATCCCAGAGCCATGGAATGGTCTGGGCTGGAAGAAACCTTAGAGATAACCCAGCTCCACGCCCTGCCATGGGCAGGGACAGCTTCCACCATCTCAGATTGCTCCAAGCCCTGTCCAGCCTGGCCTTGGACACTTCCAGGGATCCAGGGGCAGCCACATCTTCTCTGAGCAATCTGTACCCCGGCCTCAGCACCCACGCAGGGAAGAATTTCTTCCTGATTTCAGCTTAAAGCCATTGCTCTGTTTACTAATGAAACCCAGCTGAGATTAATCTGCCCTGACCCGACATGCCTGAAGGTGGGAGCAGCTCTTGCTCCTCTAACTTGGTACCTTTTCTAAGACTGTAATTCCATGAGAGCTTTCTCTTGCAAGCAGATGTGATATGGACACACCCGTATTTCAGGGCAGCCCCACTGAACTTCCCTGTGCTCAGTGACCCCTGGAAATCTCAGTCCCTTGTCATATATGCTGAAAACCTCCAGTGTCAAGGATGCAAAGCTATTTCTGCCTTGAAGGATCTCCATCCTTTGGGATAACAAAAAACTCACAAAATCCTGAGCAAGCTCTTCTCATTGACCCTGCTTGGAGCAGGAGGATTGGCCTGGGAGATCACCAGAGGAGCCTTCCAGCCTCAATCCTTCTATAATTCTGTGGTAATACGTGCTGAGACCTCAGCCTACTTGCCTAGATCTGTGTGGCCCTTTCAGGCTATGATTGTAGAAGGTATTGACCTTTAGGATGAGCTGAGTTCTCTCAGCATCAAGGAGGAGGGATCTGAAATTCCCAGAGCTGCAACTCACAGCCAAACAACAAACTGGGTACTTAGTGGATTCACCCAGAACAGAAGAGATGCAGGTAGAGTTTCTTCCCTTTGCCTGAGGGGTTTGAACCTGCATCTCCCAGCTGAAGGTTTGAAGAACCTGGCAGTATTTGGTGAATGATATTTAAACAACAAATAAAGGCCAAGAAAGTATCTCCTGAGCCTGTCAAGATATTATCTGAAAAGAGATTTCGTTCATTTATGTGTGTGGGGAAAAGGCTTGTCTAAATATTATGCTTTCTTATGGGAGACAAAAAAAAAATCATCACATTTTTGGACCAGCTCCAGGAAATTCATAAGTTAAAAAAAAAAGGAGGATAAACAAACCTACTTACAGAGTTAGTCTAAGACATTCATCTCTCTCACAAGAACACTCAGAACATCGATTTGTAAGCATAAATCAATGCTGAGGAAACTGCAGGACCAAGACATTTGCTGGGAGCCAAGATATCTCAGAGTAAACTTCCATTCTGCCACTCACTCTTTCTGTGGCTTTAGGCAAGTCAGGTCTCTTTATACAAAACACAGATTATGGAATTTAACCCTATGGCTGAAAAGGGTTGCATGCCATGAAACATTTTAATTATGGTTATATTATATTGCAATATTAGAGACCTTACCTTCTACCAGGGAAGTCAGGAGTGTGACATTTGCTGCTTTTCTTCTTCCTGCAGGCAAATTTAGTCCAAGTCTGTCTAATTTTTCTCGCAAGCAACGTCCTCCGTTCTTGGATTTTGCTCTGTCATGAGAGAACAGCAGGAAAGAGAGATATTTGTCATTATTCTGGACCTTTCCCCAGTGTTAATATAAGCCTAGAAATTGTGTGTACTTCATTGACAAATACATGGGGTAATGCCTGCAGCAATGACATCCACAGGAAATATTTCAGAGATGTATTCTTAATTTCCTGCCTGCTCTAGGTGATTCTTTAATCTAGGTGATTCTTTAACATCAGCTTTTTGGCAGAGTTAGAGGTTTTAATGTCTGTCACAGGGGCATCAGATCTTTAAGCAGTTTCCACCTAGTGGAGCCCAGTTACCTGATTTGGGCATGACAGCTGGGGTTACAGTGACTGAATGTAAATATTGACAGTGAAAACACTTATACCTGATTTAGCCAAGCCAGGCTCCAAAGACAAATTAGAGACAAACATGACCTTCTAGAATTAGATTAAACAGATATCCACAATGAGTGAACTTTACTCATCTGGCTTGTGTGGCTATTAAAGGAAGCCAGAAATCCACTTAAATGTAGATGTCTATGTGAAAACCAGCTCTAACTATCTCTCTATAATTTATGTAGAGACCTGGGTATTTAGAAATGTTGTCTACAAAGCCCAAAACTCACAAGTAAGAGGGCCAAGGCAATAGGAAATGCTGAAGCTAAAATCTCAGCCATCACTGTTTATCTGTGCCCCTATGCCAAACACCTCCATCCCACTGTTCTCACAAAATGGGTCCTGGTGTGTCCCAGCTGCTTTCTGTGGCACCTCAGTGTTTGAGGCATTTCACACAAATCCACATATGCAGCAGATGTAGGTTCAAATTCTTCCTCAGCCTGAGGGAATTTTAACCTGTATCTTTCAAACAGATGCAGCAGTCAGCTGACAGCAAATAATTAATGTTAAAATACTTAAACAATGGATAAAACAGTGCCTGGAACTTGGATATCTCCCTTCCCAAACGAATGGCCTGTCTACACCTTTGTTTTTCATACAAGACATACATAACTAACCCCAAATGAGATTGAGGGGCCCTCAGCTTAGAAAAAGTAATCACTGAGTAGCAAAAATAATTAACTTAATATTTTCAGGTTCGTGTTCAAGTTCCTTCAGGCAACGAGGAAACCAAACATGGAATATCACTGTTTGGATGATTGTTTTATGCATTAAAAAATACCACAACTTTGGCCACATTGTTTGTTCAGGAAATATCTTCTGAAAATAATTTTTTCTTTATTCAGAAGAACACTTGATTCCCAAAGCAAGCTATTTGGGAAAATAGGTAACCAGTGACTGCTGACAGGATGAAAAAACAAATATTCAAGGTCTCAGGCAAACAATCAATGAGATTTTGTTTTCCTACCTCTTTCCTTGTCAAATACAGAGGGCTTGAGCCTGTTCCCTAGCTGTGAAACTCTCAGTTACAACCTGACCAAATCTCTTCCATTGCTCTCTCTGATTCATAAAACTGATTTAGCACATCTAAACTGCAGACAGGGAGGAGTCCCTGGCTTTTGCAAACTCCATGCCCTGGGTTAATTTGGGAGAGGAGATATTTAGTCTGGGTCAAAAACCTGTAGGGATCATTCAAGCATTCTAACAGAGGAGTGAAGTGAGCCCCCACGTTCAAGTCAATGCCCTTGAATCCATAATAGTTTGCACTGTATTGATGAAATCTGCAGCAGGAGTATTTAAATGAAAATTAGCTGAAGGTTTCTCCAGGATGTTTCAAATGGAGGGGAAAATTTTGGTGAATGTAGATTTTGTATTCCAATACCCAGAGAGGCAGTTGAATGGGACTTATGCCTTGAAAACAATTTATGGTCTATAGTCATTACTCTCCAAGACAGCTCTGGAGTGCCTGCATGTCTCAGGCTGGTTAAAATGACTTTCAGTATGAGCAGGAGGATCAGTGTGGCCCTCAGTGCCAGCAGTGAAATAGCCAATGACTTTCCAGCTAGTTTTGATCAAAGGGCGTTGGAGCAGCTGATGCCATCTGAGCTGATGCCTCAGGGCCACCGTGACTTAGATATGCCTGGCTGGATTACAGTTGCCTCCTGGTTTTCCTCTTGCAATGTGAGGCACACTCTGCCCTTTTCCTTCTTTCTGCTCCTGCTCTCTGCTGGTGTCTGCTCTGGTCAGTGAAGGGTCAGAGGTAAAACTTTACCTAAGTATTCCCTTCTCCCCTAATATCTCACAACGAGAAAAGTAAAAAAAACCCAGCTTATTCTGGGGTTTTTTTGTGCTCAAAAAAAACATGCAGAGAAAGGAAGAAAAACACATCCCTGCACCTCAGTGTTTGGTTTTTTTTTTTTGTTGAGGGAGGGCTGTAACTATAGTAAAATTACTTGCTTTGAGATTGTTCCTCAGCAAGAATTTAGATTTGTACGTCTGGTGAATTCCACACATTGAATTTCCCTTTTTTTTTTTTTGCTCAAAACAAGTCAAAGCAACATCTATCCATGTCTGATGAGTAACTGAACAGAGGAGGTCAAAAAAAATCAGTTTGATGAAAAATGTAAACTTGCTAATTTACTGAAAATTCCCCAGTGGTCCCTCCTGATCCATCCCCTTCTGTTCACCTCAAGTGCGACCACTATCCAAGTAGAGGAAAAGAATAAAACCTATCTGTTGAAAATAAAAAAAGTTACAGCAATTACAGCATTGTCTAGGAGTTGTTATCCTCACCTTCAACTTACCTTCTCAAAATACCTCCGAGGAGGGAGGCGTTGAGGCATTCTGGTGGTGAAAGGCGCCTCTTCACCTCTGCGATGGTCACTTTGTACTTGGAAGTGGAGCTGAGCAGGGACAAGCGACCAGGAACGGAGCAGAACAGGTCAGTGGGGTTGACAACACAGGTGCCACCTTCAAGAAAAGGAAATATTAAAATGAGGGAAACCTCTTCTGTGTTTTGACAAAACTCAGCCATGAAGAACAATTCTGTGGTTCTCTTGTGGCCGGTTCTGTTTGGTTTTTCTCAGGGCATGTGTGGTTTGGCTTTCTATAATATTATTGTTTTGAGAAAAATGAATGTGTTGGAATTTCAGTGTGGGAACAGTGAATTATTAGATCTCATAAGCTTTACAGTCAAAACAACTTGTTATGGTTATTTGATATCATTTGATTTCATGCTCTGAAAAAAATCCCTGATTATCACTAAGGTATCTCCAATCTAGTATGATTAAAAAAAAAAAAAAGATTGAACCCTCACTCACAATTTTTAAAAAACACAGTTTGTGAAAATATTAGGACATTGGTTCTAATGAGAAATGTTAAATTTAACTCTCATAACAGTATTTAGGATTACAAAGATGTAAGAACACTATGGGTGTGCAGTGATTTGCAGCAAGAGCAGCTTTCCACACCTTTGAACTCATAAATTCTTTCCAAAGTTAGGTCAAATCCTCAGCTGATATTAACGATTGAAATCTATTGAGCTACACCAGTTTATCTCAGGTTAGCTCTGCAATTGTTTGTTTCTTGAGAGTGGCAATTACTTGGCCTGGGTCTAAAACTGCTGAATGATCACCAAATCTTTCAGTCAAGACTGTGATCAATAACTCCTCAGGCAAAATTGAGCTTTTAACTTAAAGTTAGTATGAAAGAGAGAAAGAGAGAAAACTTTCTCTTCAACTGTTCCAAGAGAGTAGAACAAACTCCCAGGGAAAAAAAATAAATAATCTTAAGGACTAACACACATTTCATCACCAAGCACAAAACACTTTTCTTTGACCTGCCTTCTCCAACCTGACTACAACAAAAAAATTCTGTGGAAGAAATAAACCTTACCACTGCATGCACTATTATTCCCTGGGGGAAAGATGAGAAAAAGAATGAGCTGCATATGACAGTGATACAAAATATCATATAATTCAATGCACTACTAGAAGGAGTTCAAATGGTTTACGTGAGGATGATGATGTGAAGACCTTCTTAGAGCAGAATTAATCTGTGCTCATCACTTATGCTTAAAGGAAGCATACTGTATCTTTTAAAATGCCTTGATAGTTTCTTTTTTCCTGTGAACACCTTAATCTATTTTAACTACAAAAGCTCACTTTGTTGTGCTTAAAAAATTTATCTTCTAATCTGAATTCTATAATGAGAACAGAATAGAATAGAATAGAATAGAATAGAATAGAATAGAATAGAATGACAATTAAAAGGTCCCTTTAGGCAAGATCCTACACCTTTTTCTTTATCAACTTACACATGCAGCCCTCTTAAAATTAAGGTGACTCTCTTCCACTTCTCACAGAGACAGACTGAAGGATGAACCTCCATTAAATGCAGACTATTGCTTGCTTACATAAGGCAAACAGAATTTCTTTCCAAATATTTCAGCTCTTGAAGGTATATTTAAACATTTGTGCTGACAGCAACACCAGAAAAGAACATCTCTTGGTATCAATCCCAGATGGGTGAGATCCTGACTCAGTACAGCAGGGTATTTTATGACTTCTAATTATGTTCCAGGGCAGATATTAGTGTCCACTTCTTAGACAAGATATAGAGACAATTCATGCATCACCAAAATATAGGCACATCAAGGGCACTGATGCACATTTTTACACAGCTCAAAGCTACAATTAATGAGCTCATGTGCTCAAACACAGAAATCTGGCGCCACACGCCTGAAATAATTTTGGGTCTGTGTTGTTTTGGTGTGTTTGGGTTTTCTTTGGTAGATTTTCTTTTTTTTTCTTTCCAGAAACCTGTAAATATTTTCAAGCAACGTTTTCCAACTTCTGGTCTGTCAGGTACATTTGTGAAGAGCGTTAACACTGAGTAGATCTGTTTGTTTGGCATCTGCCACACAATGCACATACACACGTGTATATATATATACGTGTCAAGAAAACAGTAGCACTGTCTACATATTTATTTACTTCAATGAGTCTCTAGATTTTATAACGAGTGAGACTGTACTGAAATCAGTGTCATATTAAAGTTCATCTCCTTGCCAGGTTAAGCCAGTATGTGCACCCTTTATGCCAGATAAATAATTGTTCCTTTAATCCAAAAACCTGTTACCCTGCAGCTGCTCCTACCCTAACCAGAATTTACTGGAACACTTCTTATTACTATTTAGTAGAAAGTTGCTTGCAGTCTGAAATATTTTAAAATATCATGCCCAAGAAACGGGATCTAAACCAAAGCAATTCCAGGTAAGCCAGGTATGGGTTAAAAGTAAAAGAACTCAGCAAGTCTAGGTCATTTGCTTTCCAGAAACATGGGGAATAAGTAGCAAATTACAAGAAGGTAAAATCTATTGCATATAATTATTTCACTCTATTAATTATTCATTGACACAGCAACAGAGAGCAGTGTGGTGCTTTCTAGATGAAGATATGTCTGTCACAAGCTGTGTGCATTTTTGAAGGCATGAATTTCCTACCACAAACACTACCTTGGAGAGGAGATGGATGAAGTCTTGGCCTTTGCACCACTGGTAAACAGACAAAGGCATAGAGGGCTGCTGGAAAGAGAGGAGAAAGGAGAAGGGCAGCCACACAGGAAGATGAAGGATTAGGTTTCTTGTCAAGAACAAGCTTCAGAGTATTCCTTCCTTCCTTCTGATCGCGTGTTAGAGTGATTTTGCAAAGCAGCTTAACATGAAGACCACAAGATATGTTTTAAGGTGAACTAAACAGCAGTGGTAACAGCCAGCTTTTTTTCCTGTCAACACAATGCCACTGTAGGTGTTGCTGCAAAAGTCAATCCTTGCTTAATTGTTGAGCCAATCTTGTCATAACAGAGTACTTGAGAGGTGGGATGCTAAGATTCCAGCAGTAGAAGCAGAAATAATGCCTCAAAAACAGAGTGGAAATAATGTTTTTCGTGAGTCTAGTGACCCAGCCTGGAGATCCCTATTACTCTCAGCAGTTTTTGCTGGCTTTGGAAATCTTTACAGACTGACTTCTGGTGCCAGGACACATAAGACCCCCTCAGCTCATCAAATTAAGAGCCCCACATGCAGGAACAACAAAGAAATCTGCCCACAAATTTCTTTTTGCCACACAACATTGTGCCTAAAGAAGGGAAAGCTGTGGCCCTTGCACCCTGACTTGTTATCCATGGCATTCATCCTACAGAAAAGCCAGAAAATGGAAAAGGAGAGCAGGGAGACTGAGATAACTGGTGGGACCATCCAGCTGATTGCCTCAACAATTTTGTGCTCTGAGTACCACGTGAAATGGGCCTGTGAGTGTTAAGACTCTTTTTAGGACAGCTCTTTATTCCCATAGGGAAGTGAGTACGTGGTCTGATCTGACTTCATCTGTTGTCATAAGGTGCTGCTTTGGAGATGACTGTAAATGGTGATGGTTGTGCTCTTACAGCCATAGAGGTGTGGAAACAGAGGTAGGACCAGATTTAGGCAAAGGGAGAATTATAATTTATATTGCAACTGATAGATTAGGGCGGGGAAAGAAACGAGGGAAGATTCAGGCACTCAATCCCTTCTTTAAGGCTTTTCTCTCATCCAACTCTATTCCATTACTTCTTTATTCATGACAGAGTTTTAGTCTCTGATCTGTCTTCTTCATGTTGATTTCAATAAATAAAATTTGGTTTTGCAATAAGCACAAGATAATAATGGATGGGAAAGGGAGATGTTTTGTGCAGTTGACCTCATCTAAGTGACAGACCAAGGGCCCAAAACTGCTGTGTACTGAACCCCCAAATCACCTCAAGAGAATATATATAACCTGATGTAGTTAAAGATGTTTCTGCTCATTGCAAAGGGTTGGAGTAGATGACCTTTAAAGGTCTCTTCTAACACAACATATTCTATAATTCTAATCTATGATTATTTTCAAGCGGCCTGAGAGAGAAGAATGACAAAAGACTAAGTTCATTTTTATTAGTTTACTTTGAGGGCCCAATCCTTTTCTTTCTAACTGACTAGTTCATGCTCCACACAGGGTCCTTCTTCATGAGAACTGTGCTTTTGCTTTGTTTCCCAAGCCTAGAACAAACAAAAGTTAGGCTATGTGGTACTGGAAAAGGTAGTGAGAGCAAACATGGGGAGAGCATTTTCCCTCTCTTATTCCTTTCTCTGCATCAAATAGCACATGTGGGTACAAAATGCCAGCACAAGTGGTGATGGGTTGTGCAGATGACAGCAGGGAGAACAGAGCCATGCTCTAATCCCCCATCTTGTCAGTACAATGAAAATCCCAATAATGCACGTGGTGAGGATGCTGGGTCTGTTTTGGTTGCAGGTTCCCTTTGTACAGATGAAGAGAACAATAGGGTGGATGGAGTGTGGTGGTTTATTCTGATTTAGTTACTTGGGCACCTGCTGAAATGCAAGGCTCCCTTACACCATCAGAGTAAAATATTTGTGCATCCTTTCATTAATAAAACCAACATTCTGGAATATTTTTTATACTTTTCATAAGCAATGTTTTTGTTTTTTTCAGGAATGACAGAGACAAATGTCCGTCAATGTCACCAGATGGTTTTTACTCTTTAAATACAATTTTTTCAAAAATACATGTCTATAATTTTGTGAATCCTTACACTCTGCAAGGCCATCTTATATTTGTTAATTGTAACAGCCACAATATGATGGGTGTTTTATATTCATTCAATAAAACATAGTCCCTTTCTCCAAGATGTTCACCTGTAAGTGTCATGCACCTATGTCAGGAAACATCATAATACACTGGTGACAACACTGCAGAAGTGCTGTTTATTTTGTTTTTCAGCATATAGACGTTTGTGTACTTGTGTATATTATTAAGTATAAGCACCTGAATGTCAACAGATTGATCTTATATAAAATATTAATAGCATGTTATGCTTTTTATTAGTCTATTATTTATATCTGCAGGTGCTGTTTGTAGGATCCTCCAGTT